CCATGTAGTGGGACCCTGTACCAAACACATAAAATTAAAAAAGAGAAAAGAATGAGTGTGAGGTGCTAGCCTAGGACAGAGTGAGAGAGCTCAGTAAATGTTAGCAGTTGTCGCAGCATCTGCTTTGAGTGTGACAGGACCAGCAAGGAGCTCCTGGGCCAGAAGAACCAGGCAGCATTCTGCATCAGGGTCCACAGGCCAGCACCCAAGGGACCCTGGGACTGAATCTCAACCTGAGGGGGCTTAAGGAGACTGCTGGGAGGGCACCAGGCATGGCTGAGGAGCACTGCGTGCAGATGGGGGTGGCGTACACCAGGCCTACAACGCAGCACCAAGTTCTTGAGTCATTTAGGGAGTGGTTCTGGAAGGCCTCACTGAAAGGTGCCGCTGGAGCTGGAGCCGGGGCAGCTCTTGATTGAACCTGGGGAGGAGAGAAGAGCGTTGCTCCAGGGAGATGCCGGCTGTCCTTGGGAAGTCCTCTCGCCCACTTCTCAAGCCTTGCCTAGGGGCCTTGTGACTCATCCCTCCAGCTCCGTAGAATTGATCTCCGTTAGAGTTTTTGGCCTGAGATACTGATGGGGCCTCTGATATGTTGGGCAAGCCTGGGAGCAGGAAGATGGGTAAGACTTGACCGGCGCAGACTTCCCGAGGGGAGAGTTTCCCCACTACAGATGCCTTGGTGTGTCTCTGATAACCTGGTTCAGTGTTTACTGTTCCAGTAACAGTTTGTGATGCTCAGTCTTTAGGAATTCCTGGCTCCTGCTGCTATCTGCTTATCAATAGGAAGGCCATAGGGGCACCACTGTGGTGACTCCAGGAAGGACTGAGAGCTGGAGGAGCTGTTAAATGACACTGATGGCCTGAAGGGGAGTCTCCTGCTCTGTCCCTCTCTCCTTTGGATGGGACAAATGACAGTAGCACTTGGGTTTTTTATTTAGCTCCATGGATTCTATTTATGGCCCTGAGCACCCTGGTACCTTTCTCCTCCACTTCCTTCTACCCTAGCTTCTGGGCTTCCTGGTTGGCTCCTCTTCCAAGCCAAGTGGGGAGAGAGGATGTGGTGCCAGGCGCAGATGGCTTCTGTTCTCTGTTGGGACACAGGGCAGACAAATTGGTCTGAGTTTCAGAAGGCAGATTTTTATTCAAAATAAGGGCAGGGAGCTTGTCTTTGTCCCAAGGGTTGGCCCACAGTGGGGCAGGCTTCCTGTGACGTAAGTTCCGACTGTAGAGGCTGGTGGGGATCCTCAGAGGCACCTCTGAGGTGCTGAGGCAAGAGCCCTCGCAGGGAGGGGACTTGAGTTTTCTCCGTTTACAGCTGGCGGGGGAGAGCACGCTGCTCTGGTTCTCTCTGCTTTGCTGTTCCTTTCCCATGGCGTTTCTTTTCCTGAATGCCTCACAGCTCACGCCCTGCTTGTCATAGCTGCTGGGGCACAGGACCTACCTGTCCGACTTGAGAAATGCACGTGCCGGGATATTTGTCTTGGGTTTGCGGGTCATGTAGATGCCAAGCCTGTGGGACCACATTCAAGCCTAATTTCCCGGGAAAGGTGGAGCGTGCATTTCTTTCTCCCCCCGCCCCGCCCCCATCTGCTGGTGCTTTCACTCACGCAGAGTTCTGTAACTGGAGTTGCAGCTCGAGGCAACAAGGCAGCGGAACAGCAGTCTGCTCAGTGGGTTTGTGAGTGGAGGACCTCTGCCGCCTTGGTTACCTGGAGGAGGGATCCCCTCTTTTCTGGCCTCCCACCGCCTGCTTCCCTCCCTCCGTTTCCACCCCCACCCTAGGCTCACTCCTCAAGGTCGATTTCCTTGGCAGCGCCGCGGCGCCATCCTCCTCCCTGCTCCGCCGCCGGCGCACACGGGCTTTTGAGTTCTGTGCCTTCTGCTCTAACGAGATAAACAAGCGAAGCCTCACGAGGCTTCTCTTCCCTCCGTAAGTGCAGCTCTGGGGTGGCTGAACGTGGTGGCTCCGTAAGGAACCCCCATGCTTGCGGCTTAGGAAGGCGAGCAAGGAAAGGGCTAAGGAGACAAGGAGGAATCAGAGCAGACACTGACGGGAAGCCTGGGTGGCCGGGGCCTGGTCGAGCCATGTGCTCGCAGAGTCCAAGTCCATAGCAGCTAACTCCCGGCAATCGACAGCTCACAGCTGTTAAGTTTTTATGGCCGTAGTCTTCCTCCTCCTGAGGATCAGTGAATTCCATGACAGTCCCATAGCTGGGTGCCATGGAGCCCTCCTCTTCCAGGGGAGGAGGCAGGCTCAGACACGGCTTGGGGTATTTTCCAATCCTTGTGTGCTCTTGCCCGGCACTGTGGGGCTTCTCAAATTTATGAGAGAGAGAATGAAATGAAGTTGGTTCCTTCTGGGCCTTCAGAGGACTTGCCAACGTTGCCTCTCCAGGAGAGGGGCGGATAGCTACCAGCCGTGGCTCGGGGTTGTCTCAAGGCTGTCTCAGGACTGTGGACCCACAAGCGTAGGATTGCCCTCTCTGGGAGGGTGTAGGGACAAGTGTTGACATTTCTGAGCTCTTGCTCTTAGACCTTTAGAGAGTGTGGTCTGGATCAGCTCTTTCTTCCTCACCTGCTTTTGGTTGAATTGGAACTACCAGGGGTAGTGGACAGCGGGGCAAGGAAACAAGCCGAGACCAGAGGCTTCTGTGCTGGCCTGGGTGAGGTGGGCCCTGGGCTTGGTCCTGGGTCCACTGTGTGGAACCTTTCTGGGAGAAGGAGCCTCTTGGAGCCAGGAGCAGTGTTCATTCACTTCCTGCATTTCTGAGCCAGGTTTAGCTCTGCTCAGCTGTGTTCACTTGATAAGGATTCTTCGAGGCACCTGCTGAGCATGGGGTACCGGGTGCTGGGGATAGGACAGAGGGATGGGACACCTCCCATGCTGGTCTCAGAAAGCCTGGAAGGGAGATAATGGAGTAGGTGGGCGATTAATTACAGTGCTGGGGAAACCAAGGATGCTTGGGTTCCTGCAGGAAGCTGTTGGGGTGATCTTGGCCCCTAAGAAGAGCACGCAGACTGTGCTAAATCAATGCCCAAAGGCTCCCAGCTAGACACTCCAACCACCTGTTGAGTTCTTAGAAACCAGCCACCCGGTGTGCCTACCTAGCCAAATTCGGGTTCAATTTGAGAAATTCTGCTTATGAGAAGTTTCCTGGGAGATTTTGGCTTAGGCTTGGGTTAAGAATCCCTGAACCCAGGATGAGTGGTTCTGGGAGGCGGAGTAGCAGCCAGCACTTCAACTGCCCTGGCATGCTGCAGATTGTCATGTCTGCTGGTGGCCTGGACGCCTGGACAGGACTCAGAATCCAGATGTCCATTTGGGGATGGCAGGACCGGAGACAACATGGTCCTGAAGCGAGTCACTGCAGAAATATGATGCCAACCCTCAGAGAGGCTACCTGGCCCCCTCGTGGCAGGGAAGCAAGCCACCATGATGGGATTCATTTGGCTTCTGTCCACCCGCTGCCAGTCCTCAGGGCTCAGAGAGCTCAGAGCTGCAGGATCTTCCTACTGTACAGAAGCCCACGAAGCAGAAGCCCCACAGGCTCGATCTTAATCGTTTCTGAGAATCAAAAGGAGAGGGGTCAAAACCTCCAAACTGTTCACAGTCTCGCAACCCATGGGAGCAGCTGAGTGATTAAAATGATGCTCAGCACAAAAAGGCGCCTGGATATTTTGGTTCCTTTCATGTGGGGAGAGTTGCCCTGCTTGGGATCCAACCCAGAGGACTGGTGAGGAAGACTGGCAGGACTGAAAAATGAATGAACAGATCTGTAGTAATGGAAGGTTTATAGACTTTTTTTTCTCTGCAAAGGCAAATAATGAAAGTAGTTTCCCCTCTTAACTTTCCTGGGCCTTGAGATGGAAGACAGCAGATGGGAATAGGGTCCTGGTGGTTTTTTTTTTTTTTTGCGGAACTGGGGATTGAACTCAGACCCTTGCACTTGCTCTTGGTGTGTTCTGAGCCCTGTGGTCCTAGGTTTAGGCAGGGACACTCTCATATGGAACTGCCTGCGTCCACAGCTGTCAGGTGTCATTTATTACCGAAGATAGACTTTATTTTAATGTTGGAACATATTTATCCATCCATCCATCCATCCATCCATCCATCCATCCATCCATCCATCCAACTAATACTTATTTGGGTTCTTTCACATGTCAGCTTTGGTTCTGGGGCTCCCAGCAGGAGTAAGACAAAGGTCCGGTCCTCGCTGGCTTTCCACTGGTTTCTTTGGAGGATCATTAGCTGGTGTTTTCAGGCTCCACGTCACCCCACCAGTCCTAAGCACCTCCCTATCCTCTCTTCCCTGCCCCTGAGAGTAGGCTGCATTGGTCTTGTGTGGCGAGTCCACACCTCTCCACATCCTCCAGTTGTCACACTGTTGCCACAGGAGCGCTATCTGGGCGTCGTCGGTAAGACTGCTTGTGGAGTTCTTGGCATGACAGCACTGCTGGTGATGTCAGAGGCCAAATAGAAATGGCGACTCCTGCTGGGGGACAGCGTAGTACATGAGTCTGGCATGTCCCGCGGTTGCTTACCCGTGGTAGCGCAGGCCGGGGGCAGCGATGTCCAGGAATGCTGCTCTGTGGCCAGGGGGCCTGGGTGTGTCTAGAGCAGGAGTGTGCTCCCATGAAGGCAGCCCCAAGGTAGGCCCATGACCTCTCCTGTCTATACCCGGGCAGAGAGGCGGTTGTGGAGAGCTACCACCTTCGGAGTGCTGTCATGAGACGACTCCTCCTAGGTCTGTAAGGGCAGGGCTGCTTTTACTAAGGGGATGGTGCTTTTTGGCCCAGGTGACATGAACAGCAAGGCAGAGCACCTGGCAACGTCTGGGGCAGAAGGCCTAGGCTGACCTGTGCCGCAGGTCCACCCTGTGACCTTGACAAGTCCCCTGGGCTTGCGTTTCCTCCCCCTGTGAGTGGTCGGGTCGGTTGGGGTAGTTTCCCTGGCCTCTTGCAGCCTGGAGCCTTTAATCTTTACTGGTCTCTGTCTGCAGGCCTTGCTCCAGGCCAGCTGTACACGTACCCTGCGCGCTGCTGGCGCAAGAAGAGACGGCTGCATCCGCCCGAGGACCCAAAGCTTCGGCTGTTGGAAATCAAACCTGGTGAGTGCGCTCCGGGGCCTGGAGCTCGGCTGGGGCTTGGCAGGAGGCAGTGACACCCGGGCCTGGCCTAGGACAGAGCCAGGCGGGTCCTCTGCTCGTGGGGCTGAGTTTTCTGGGAGAGGAAAGATACCCACAGGTCACTCCGAGGTGTTCCTCTGTGCCGACTCTGTGGCTAGACGTGGCCACCTGGCCTCTGAGCTTCTCTCCTCTGGTGTCTTGAGCCTTCTCCTACTCTGCCTTCCCTTTGCCATCCCTGGGAAGCAAATCAGGCCACAGCAGGGGCTAGGCACGGCTTTCCCACCAGGACGGCAGGAGCTGCAGTGCTTCTGCGTCAGCTGCTGCCTTCCTTGTGGTCTCAGGAAGGTGCCTGAGCCCAGGTTGTGTGTTTTCTAGATGACGACACCCCATAGACCCATTCCCCACTACTCAGGGGCACTCCTGGAGCTGCTTACTTGGGAAGGGCCAGTTTGTTAGAAAAAGCACACTGTCTTGGCTGTATGGGAGAGCCAGGGTCCAACACGTGTGTCTAAGGGCTAGAGACTGCCGAGCCACCCTGCAGAAGGATCTGCTTGTTTACCTTGACCACAGCTAGTGACACTTCTGACCACGTGGCTGCCCTGATTCCTGACCCCTGCGTCTGGGTTGCAGCAAGACCAAGTGATTGATTGTACAGGGAACCTTTGTTTTGAGGGATCTGGGGTTGTAATGTGACTCGGGGTTGAGGGCATTGGCTGTCCGGGGCCTGTCACTGGTTGCATGCATCTCCTTGAGTTGAGATTGAGCCCTCTGGGCTGTTCCCTTGGGCCAACAGCACAGGTGTATTGGGCGGTACTCCTAGGCAGCTTCCACCTCCAACGAGGAGCAAGGCAGCCACGTGCAATTTTGTAATTCATTTTTTGCTTGATTTTTAAGTAGGTAATACCGTCACATGTTTTGACATTTATAAGCTAAAAGGACATATTGTTTAGGAAAAAATAAGGGCACATCTCCGAAGACAATCAATGACACTGTTTTTTTTTTTTTTTCCAATTCTGAGATCGTCTTCACGTATACTTGGCATTCCACTGAGGTGATTATCCATGCCTCTTCGTACCAGCACGACCACCTTTGATTTTGCCGTTTCCGTTTAGGCAGCGCCGTAGACCCTGGCCACCCTTGCCGTTAGTCTCCTCATACCTTGGTTATCACTGCATAATGTTCTACTGTATGAGGAGGTCATAATCTATTTTACCAGATTGTTCCCAATATTTTAAGTGTATGAAAACATCTCACATTTAATTTGTTAAAGGATTGTATTTTAAGTATGTAACATTAATTTAAAATTATCAGTTTTGTTCTTACTATTTACACAAGGGATCTTAATTAAGAATACTTCAAGTCAGACTTATCGGGTCTTCTTTCTTCAACCAAAGACACTTAGCATTTTGAAATACTTTTGATCTCATGAGCTCCAATTCTTTACTTTACTGAGGTCCACACAAGTTAAAGAAACTTTCTTGAAGTCATACAACAATTCCCGTGGATCCAGAGGAGAGTCCAGGCTGCTTGAATTACCCATTCAGTGCTTTTCTGCTTCTTCATGCTGTGGATAGATAAACTAACTTTTTTTTTGTATTTAAGGAAGGGTCTACAGAGTTTCAGGGTCTCACAGCTAGATCGGGCTTGTAGTGATCCGCTTGTTTACAGCCTCCCGAGGCTGCAGTTGTAGGCGTGCGCCACCATGCCCCGTCTCAGTTGCTGTCTCAGCGTACCCCTGGGGTGGGGCCGGCACGGCGGGCTCAAGGATGAAACCCCCTGCCCCTGCCCCTGCTTGCTGGTGCTTTAATTTGCTGAGCTATTTGGCTGGCCCTTTAGAGAAACTAACTTAAAGAGACACTGGCAAGATTTCTTTCTTTAAAAACTTTTTCTTTTTTTTGGTGGAACCGGGAATTGAACTCAGGCCCTTGCGCTTGCCAGGCAAGAGCTTATTCTACTGAGCCATCTCCCTGGCCCCTAAAAACTTTCAGATCACAAAGTTTAAATATATGAAGAGGTAATTGGAATTTTTCCAGTCATAAATACTCAACTCCAAGCAGTCTAAGCACCCACAGAGTCTCAAAACAGCAAATCCCAAGATGCACCTGGCTTCAGCCACAGTTGCATGCAGGTGCTCCAAACACTGTAGTGAGCCTGCGTCTCTCTGTCTCTAATCCTGCCTTCTCTTCTTAGGGCAGGGCAGGTGGCCACCATGCCCCATGCTCAGCCAAATTCCCCTTCCACGAATGGCAGAGAAGTCCCAGGTGGGACCGATAGCAGCTGGCCCAGGTTCTGTCTGCCTTCCAGTCACTGCCCCCCAGCATAGAGAGGATGCTCTGATTGAGTCTCTATCATCATGACCAGCATCTGAATGGAGACACTGGTTTATAAAATGTTTTATAAAGCATTTGTGTCCCTGTCACTTACTTGTCCCTACCATAGCCTGGGGTTTAGAGGGGCAAAGAAGAAATGAAGGTGCTACAGGCTCTTGGCACAGGTGAGAGAAACCGGATTGCAGTTAGGGCGAGAGTCCATGTGGACCAGGCCACTGCAAACCAACCACTGCTCTGGGACCCGGGCACGCAGCTGTCTTCTGAGCATTTGCTCTCCTGTCCACAGAGAGTTACTTTGAATGTGGTTTGCCCTGCGTGGGACTCACAAGGGAGCAGCAGCATTCATAGTGGGCTGTGGACCTGCAGGACCTATGAGGGTAGGGAAAAGGAAGAAACCGGGGCTGATGCTTTTCTGCAGCCGTGTTCCCTCCGCACACGGTGGTCCATCTGTGACTGTTTGAAAGAGTCACAGTGGTGCAGTTCCGTCCTCTAGGCAGGCCCGCTTCCAAGTGTGAGGTAGAAGTGGCTGGACCAGGTTTGGGGTAAAAGTCCAGCCCCTGAGGTGCTGAGGGTTCTGGGCAATGTCAAGCTCTGAGGAGACAAGCACCAGCCCTGTGTGACCCTGCTCCCACACAGGCAACGTGGGGCTCCCCCCAGGCTGGCCCTTTCTTTCTCAGCAAGCACTAAGAGATGCTCAGCAGCCCAGGGCTGTGGGAAGAAGCCTGCAAATGGCAGTGCTTCTACTCGGATGAACGCAGTCCTCTTTTTAGGTAATCAGACATCCACTAAACCTGCTAACGCCAAAGCCAGAGCCCAAACCTGCAAAGCCTTTGGCCAAATGCCTGTCATTCCCTAGCCCATTTTGAGTCTGAATTGTGGGGCCCTGCCCCTGGCCCTGCCCTTGTCTGCAGCTTTCTGCTCTGGGCCCTGGGAGAAGGAGGACAGCCTGGCACCTCACAGCAGTCGGGCCTGCCTAGAGGACGGAACTGCACCACCAACGACGCAATCACCCTCCTCCTGGAAGCAGTTAAGCTTTGCATTTGAATTTTGCGCATGTGCCAAGATTCAGGAAAACACCCCACTCAGGGCCTCAGCTCCTGCACATGGCAGCTTTCTGCAAAAATAGGTGATGCCCCTCTGGGTGGACACCTGCAGAACGATGCCTCTTCTGGCAGTAGTAGATAGAGCCCAGGGCGTGCCCTGGCCTCCCCCTGAGTCCTGGCAGGACCCCCTGTGCAGGTGTGACTCCCCACCGCCCATCATTTGGGTAGTGCAGCTTCCACCTGAACGACCTCCTTCTGCTTTGGGGCTGTGTCCTCCCTTGGGTGCTGACCTGAGCAACAGTTCTCAACAGTCCTTTCCTATTTTCATTCCATTTGAGTTGGGCTCCAGGAGGGCTCAGTTTTTGGTTGGTGCTTTGGAGAGTGACTCGGGAGCGTCCCTGGCGGAGTCCCCAAGCTCCTCGTGGGTGGGAGCAGTTGTCCCAGGGCTCAGGGGCTGTCCATCCCTCCCTCCCCAGGGACCGAGGAGCTGCGATCTGTGAGCTGAGGGAGAAGGAGACGCGGGCTCCCTGGTGTCTGCACAGCGAGGTGGGCAGGGTGTTTCTGGACACCGAGCACTGCCTGTCAGTAGTTTAAAAACACTTATTCTTGGAGCTAAAGGTTCTGCTAGAACTTATCACACATATTGCCCGCATCTATAATTTAATTTTAGGTATCTTTATGTCTAAATAAAAATTTAGAAGATTTCTGTTGTGGTGCTGTTTATATCTACAAGCAAAGAACAGAAACTACCAGAAGGTCTATTGATGGGAAATGAGTTAAATAGGTAGTACTTCCACAAAATGGAATATTATTTTGTCTTTTAAAGAGCAAGAAAAAAAATGGACAGATGTCTAAGATAAATTGCTAAGTAGGAAAAAACCCAAATTATACAACATTATGTATAATCCTCTCTGGATAAAACTTGCTAAAAATCAATAATCAATTTGTACACCCTGTGATAAATTTCTTTAAATTTATAGAAATTAGAGAATGAGTTTATTGAAAGAAAACCAACCAGTGGACCAGCCTGCACAACCTGGGCCCCAGAGAAGAGACCCCGCCTTTCCTCTCCCTTCTCTTGGCCTTCTTGGGGAGGGCTCCCCTGGGGTCCCCTTGACGTGAGGTCCAGGGCCCTGGCAACGCTCACGGGCTCACCACCAGCACCACCCGGACGTAGCCCGTGAGAACCGAGGCACCATTTAGAGCCCGTGTGCCTCAGGAGGGAGACTTCCTGTCTTCCTTCCTCCACCTGTCAGGGTGGAGCTCAAGAGCAGCGTACCATGCCAGCTCCCCATTTGTCCTTCTCGTCTTCTTTAGCTTGTCACTACCTGAGCCTGTCTTCAGCAACAAAGAAGGCCAGTGTGTGGCAGAAGTCGGTGCGGTCCCTGGCCTGCAGGTCTGCAAGCTGGGTCAGAAAGCCGGGGCAGGGTAAAGGGAGGACAGGGCGGTTTCAGGACTCTGGAGGCTCCTGAGGCCAGGGCCATGGAACCATTCTCCTGTCTTAGCTGCTAAAGCCCAGAGGTGTCCCGGGGCAGGAACTGGAGAGCCAGGGCTTGCTGAGGGCATGTGGGCTCTTGGACTTGGCTATGCCCTAGGAGAGGCCCCCGCC